AAAACGAATATTCGCTACAGCACCGTCTGTCTTCCTTAGACAACAATGTGATAAGCACATCGAAGGTAAAATCACATCTAAGAGGACTCTTTGGGTACATCTTGTTTAAGGATCCTTAGATTTGCCTTGAAACCTATCCCATATTGGGATATATAGGTGGTATACAGGTGGAAAGTTACAGAAATAATGTCAAATAAAGAATTTAATTCAAGCTCACAAGGAACTTAATTCAAGTTCACAAATCTACAACTGGGAAAATATGGTATTAATTTATGAGCTGCAACAGACAACAGTTCTCAATGCACTGCCATCAACTGTTAGAAAAGTCCAAGTAGTCTGGCCATAGAACCACTGTTCTGGGTACAGCCCTGGTGACTGGCATGCTTGTGGAGGCTAGAAATGCCACCCAGCATGGACAGATCGTCCAGCACCTGAGCAAACAGGAGCAGAAATAAATACAAACATAGTCAACTGAAAAATGGGTAGGAGAACATCTGAAAGCAGTTTAGTAAGGAAACAGAAACGATTTCTTCCCTCTTAGCAAGAAAAAAACAAAAGACCAAAGAGAACCACAAAGATGATTACAGATTTGGAATATAAAGTTTCCAAAGAACCATTAAATGAATTGAAATTACTACTCAGGAAAACAGACTCAGTGAGGGTTCATTAATTAGTGTCCTTCTAGTTTATAAACAGGCTTGTTTATAGGAGATGGCAAACCATCTGGCATCCATGTTTGATAAAGCTGAACCAGAAAGCAGGTGTGACACACAGCATACAAAATTTTGAGGCTAGTAAACCTGAGAAGAAAAGTCATCACTCACGACTTCTGAACAGTATACACACCAAGAAATTCACCAGACTGAAAACCAGAGGACCTTTAGGCCAGTGTTTTCTGCAATTAATGAACCCAGTGTAACTTCAGGCAAGTCACGTAATATCTCTGGATTCAGTTTCCTCATCTGTAAAATGAGCATACTGGGATAATACAAAAAAAAAAGTAAAACTGTTATACAAGCACTGACTCAGGATTCAAATTCTGTCTTCATCAATTACGGCTTGTAGGGCTTTGGACACATTCTGTGCCTTGGATTTCTCATCTACAAAATTAAAGTAATAGTAGTATCACCCTCCTAGGTTTGTTGAGAAGATTAAGTGAATTAATACATGGAAAACACTTAGCATACACTGACGCAGGGTTAGCTGCTACTTTTCGCTGCTGTTAGTATTATGTGCAAGTAATAGAGGGAAACTCTGGCTGATTAAGCAGAAGAGGAGTTTATTAAAAGGGTACTGGTTTACAGAAATTTTGGATTTGGAAAACTAGATTCAAGAGTAAGCTTTTAGAAATAACACCCAAAGCCACATCACAAATCTGGAATGATAAAGAAAGTGTTATCCACCATTCATGGACTACTCAACACTAAAGTTAGCATTACTATAATTTCTGCACCAGAACTCAATTTTGCTCTAGTATAATCATGACTGTCCCAGCTGCAAGGGACACTAGAAAAGCAAGTATTGGCATTTTTAACTCCTGTAGGAAAAGGCAGTTTTGCACAGATTCCTCAGATGTATAAAAAGATCAGATGCCAGATAGCCAAAATTAACTCCATCTATTTGTCCTCCAAGCTAAAATGTACTGCTTACGATCATTTATTAAAGGTTGGGGGGTTTCAACCAAGGTCAAGAAGATGTTACGTAGAACTTCTTAAAGGCTCTATGGTTCCTTCATGAAAGACTAAAACTTTTGTGACAGGAGGGATTTCCAAATTCTCCTATCAACTGAGTTACTGGGTAAGCTCAGTATCCAGCATTTAAATTGAAGCTCCTGGATTTATAGTTAGAATTAGGTCTTTAATTTTCAATTTATATAATCAAAGGTTTTCACTTCTTTATGTGTGACTAGAGAGAATAAACGGTTTCCAAGTCTTCAGCTGGAAAAATTAAAAAATCCCAGAGTTTAATGAACATTCTCTCATGAAAAACAAAATCTCCTATTTTTTTTCTCTCCAAGCTATTAATACATTTGTGCTGCCGGGGATATGCATCCCGCAAGGACATTGGCCAGGAGAAGAAAGCAGTTATAACTGGGCTTTATCTATTTTAAACTCCTCAACTATTAAAATAGTGCTTAAAATACAGCAATCCAGCTCCCAAATGTCCTTTCTGAGTAATGGACAGCTATTCTAACCCCATGACTAATGCCCAGTGCCTGTCTTAAATTGGTCTGGACCTCCACCACTGGGGCATTCCGAGCCCAAATCTTCCCCCCAGTGCCTGAACTTCATGGCATCTCTGCACCATTTAGACTCTTGGTTGTTCCCCAAAATACTCTTGGTGAATTTATTTCAAGTGTTTACAGAAACAGAAAGAATTAAGAATCTCTCCTACCCAATCACTTTTGCTCCACGAATTCTCTGATACACGTGACATGCACAAAAATAGTTTGGTGACATTTTTAGCAATTAGAGCATGAAAACTGAAGGGAAGATTTAAAAGGTCAATCTGCTGGTTGCTTATTTATTTTCAAACTCTTGGACAAAGCGTGTCAAATTGGAAATTCTGGAATGACCGTTGTGATATTATGCGATGAACGTTTGTTTTGTTTCCTCGGCCTAAAGAGTAAAACTTCTACCAACTTTATACTAAATCTATTCCAATAATCCACTGAATCATGTATCTTCAGTCTTTTAAGACGTACAGAACGGCCTCAGTGGGCTTCTCATCAACCAGGTGGTGAGAGTCAGCGCACGGAGGTAGGCTGCAGGATGTTAACAGAGATCTACCTCTCTGTAAGCACCAGGTATGGGATACGTTCTTCCCAACACCCGTGTACTAAGATGACTGGAAATTGGGAAGGATTTTAAATGTAGCAGAGAGTTTGCAATTCAATGACACGATAATTTCTTTTTCATAAATAAGCACTTAAATGTATGAATCTGTTGTAAGTGATTAGGCTTCCATACTACAAAGCAAAATGTAGTGGGATTAAGCTGATGGACTCTGACCCTCGACTGCCTAGGTTCAAATCCTGACTTCTCCACTTCCCAATCACATGACCTTGGCAAATGACTTGATCTCTGTGAGCTTCGGTGTCTTCCGTAAAATGGGGGTTGTAATAGTCCTTAACTCACGATACTGTGTGGGAATTAGAACAGTGTCTGACATGTAGTAAGTGCTCTATAGGCGACTACAGGGTAAATAAAATACGTCTTAAATATGATTTTAAATATGTCTCTGAAAATATCAAATCCACTTTTTTAGGAAATTCTTGGTTGAGATATAGCTCATTGAATTCTTAAGTTTTTTTCCCCTTCCTCAGTATAAAACATTTTATTTCTTAGTGAAGAGTTTTTCTCCTGGATAATCCTGCAAGAATATAGGAGAAGAAAAAATTCAAGAACTCTTGAGGCAAATATTGAAATGTTTAGGAAGATGAAAGGTGCCTACTTGTTTGAAGCAAAAAGTGATCAAGGCAAGGTAGAACACCCCTACGACATCTCTCTTAATTTAAAGCAACGTGATTCAATCATTAGGAATTCAAAGTGATCATGACCACAGACATCATTTAAATACCATGACCTGAAAGGTCTTTGTGCTACCACCTATAAAATGATTGAGCAAGTCTCGTTAGTTTTTAACAACATTTAACAGAAAAACTAGAAGCTGCTTTATTTTGATTTTTAACCAACAGCTCTCGTACAAAACACCATCTTTAAACAACTAGCGAATGTCTTTAAAAAATGCATATAGTTTGGAAAGGCAAACAAACAGTAACTGCTTCTACACATGGGTAAGAGGGCGATGCATTGAGGAATTTTTCATTTTGCTTTAAACATGACTTGTTTTTTCCAACATCATGTATTATATTCTATGATCTAAAACTTTTTCAAGGAATTATTGTAGAAGTTAGTAATGATACTGATATTTGGCCCCTTACATTTTCCTTTCTCCAAAAATCACAATTAAGTATAGTAACAAAGATTTCTGGCTATGCCGAAGTGGAAAGTAAGTGTATCCTTCTCCGGAAAATGAACTATTTCAGCTCAGTGGTGGTGGATTAAGTCTGTATTGCACTTTGGGGCCCCTGAAGTTACTTTTAGGTCATTAACCTTCAGAAAAATAAACGTATCAGTGCAGAGAAGCATCAGTGCTATCTGTCCCCGAAAAGGACATTGAATGTACCAAGGGTTTGTTAGGACAAAGGAAAAAAAAAGAAGCTAATTCTATCTGGACTAATAACCATATTGCTTCCCACAAAGAGATCCAACATTAGTAAACAGCTCTCACCATCTTGTCAGCTTTGAGAATAGATTTAAGTTCCTCACTGGCTACCCTCAAAATTACCCAGTCCACCCTGTCAAATGTTAATCTACTTAGAGATTCACATTGCTTTGCTCAGCACATGTAACAGCCTAAATCCAGGGAGGCAAGAAGAGAATTAATAACTATTGACTACCTATCACATGCTGAGATCTGTGCCATGCATATTTGATGTATTTTCTCCTTTAATCGACAGCTGCTATTAACCTGGCTTTGTATATGAAAACACTGAGGTTCTGAGAAGTCAAGTCACTTGCCCAAGGCCCCACAGCTCATGAGTCATGGCACCAAGTAGTCCAGCTCCAGAACCCTCACCGGCAGACCACATAGACTTCAGTCTTAAATCAGAACCCCAGATTCAAATTATAGTCAGATCCTTGGATGATCAGGCATTGGTGCATTTGAATGGCATTTAAAAATAACCATAAGCCCTTATATTTGTCTGGCACTTTCCAAGTTTTCACAATGCTTATGTAGGAGCAAACTGCTGAAGCACAGAGCAGGGTGTTAAAAATCCACATTGCAGAGGCTTCCATTTTTATTCTGTGACCAGTCTAATACTCTTACTTGTCGAGAAGAATGCTCCTTATTTTGTGAAATGATTTTGAAAATAATTGAGGCACTGGAACTAAAGATTCTCTTGTTTTCTTCTCGCCCTTGTACAATCCACATGGGAGTTGCAGGAAAATGGACAAAGAAAATATGGTGGTCCCCCACCTGGCTGGGATGCTGCACCCCCAGAAAGGGGCTGTGAAATTTTTATTGGAAAACTTCCCCGAGACCTTTTTGAAGATGAACTTATACCATTATGTGAAAAAGTGAGTCCAAATATGACCTTTTTTAATCTTTCAAGGAAAAAATACTGCTCTCTTCACCCCACTTTCACTGTTACTTTTCTTGGTCAGTGATGGTTTCTCTTCCAGTTCTTCCAATTGCCGTTCCTCAATCATGGACAAAGGTAAAACCTTCCTAGCTGCTGGTGGTTGTCCCCTAATTATCACTGCCCTGACTCAGCTCTTTGTCCTGATACTGACAGCTGAAACTACCATTGCTGCTGACTTTTAAATCTTTATCTCGATCCCCCATCTCCAAGGGCATAGCCATCTTACTGCAAACACAATGTGTCTGTCAACCCAGAACAACACTACGACCACCTGTCAACAATAAGGTATTGCTTCAACTTGAAATATTAATATGGTTTTATAGGGCGCAAAACTTTCCCATGCAAAACGTGTATGTCTGTCATGGCTCAAATGTCTGTCTATGCATATCGGTCCAGAATGAAATTTCTTTCTGCAAATATGAATCTGTCTTCCCTAAGGCAGCGACAAGATAAGCAGCATGGTTTCTCAAAGTCGTTATGTAATTAAGGAATAAATTTCCTCAGTTTTAACGCCCAATGATATTTTGTTATTAAACCCAAAGCTAAAGGGAGAAGACAAAATTAAATTTTCAGTAATTTGCCAACTAGTGTTTTAACAATCACATTCTTAGAAAATGTAGTTAAAAATGAGAGGTTAGCTATTTCTTCCCCTAAATGCCAAAATCAGCTGTGTGTGTGTGTCTGTGAGCATGCAGGTACGTGTGTAACTCAGCCTTGGGTTCAGAACTGCTCTTAATATTATACAAACAACCTCACTTGGCACGTGTACAAACTCTGAGGACTTAATCCTCTACGAATCTTATATACTCAACATGAAAATGAGCACCAAGAAACACCTCAAACACAGAGATAAAACATGCCTGAACTCTCTCCTGATGAGCCCAGAAGAAATAGGTGTCCATCACTGAATACCTGGGCATGAGGTAGGGCGAGGATGAGCTGACGGGCAGCTTATGTCTAATGACGCCTCTTCTCCCCGTGCATGCCCCTCGCATCTGCGTGGGCAACTGTTCTTACAGCAGCCAGCAATAATAAACTACTGGGTCTGCGTTATAAAGAACAGTTCAGGTAGCATGTAACCAAAACAGAGGAGGGGCAGTGAGAGGGATACAGTGAGTGCCCTCCTAATACGGAGGTCCTGGTCCTGGCTCAGTTGTATTAAGACTAGCATTTATTTTCAGCCTGCAGACTGAGAAACAGGGCTCCCCTGACCATCCTCTGAAATACAACTTCTGTGTTCATCTTTATGTCACAGTAAGGGGGAAA